GTTGGGGTGATGCTATGTTTACTGAAATTATTTCTTCTCCATCCAACAAATCCTCAGGGGTATAGGGACTTTAAGATTCAACGACGCGACGGCAACGAGGACGTCGCTTAAAAAGTGAACTTGTGTTCTTTCGGTCTTTATCGCGATTATCCCCACTCACGTACTTTGTCAAATGTTGGCGAACCCCGTTCAATTTGAATTCCAAAGGACCAAATCCAAGTTCAGGCCTCGGTTGTTTAAATGCTGGATAGCACTATCCACCGGATAAATCTCTATCCAGTGGATAGTGCAATTAGTTTCCCCGATACTTATCCGCTGAAAAGTGATTTATCCGGTAGATATCGCTTTCCAACGTTTGAACAACCGGGGCCAGAAAGAGAAATAAATTTCGCCGTTGCTTTTTTACGTTCTCCATAAAACGCACATTTAGGCATTTTCACGTCGTCGCGGTGAAGAAATGTACAAAACAGTGTGATACACGTGCAAAGTTTTTGTTTTGCTTATTCAACCAGTTCTTTTTCGTTTTTGGACGTTCTCGTTGTCATCGCGTCGTTGGATCTTAGGGCCTGTTTACATGGAGCTGGGGGACCCTAGGTAGGGGAGGTAACCTGCTTAGGTGGGGTAACCCACTTGTCCATATAATCTCTCATTTTAATTTGATCACGTTTACATGATACTTGTAGGTGGGGTGAGCCGCCACATATTACCTCACCTATTTGAGGTCCCCCCTGAGTGATGTAAACAGACCCTGAAAGTCCCTGGTACTGATGGAGGTTAAGATAGCACGACGGCAACGGCGGTGAAAGCTTCACTTAAAAATATTATCGAATTCGCGTTTTTTCAAACTTCATTCCGTTTATCCTAGCCTTCTCACTTTGACAATTGTAGACGAACTCCCCAGGATTTGAATTCCTAAGAACCATATCCAACTTCAGAGCGAGAAAAAAATTCATCTTCATTTGTTTGCGTCCTGCAGAAAACGTAAAATTAGTCCAAATTAGGTAATTTCACGTTGTGGTCGTGCAGTGGCGGCAAAGAAGTACAGTATATGAAAAAGTCTGAAACACGCGGCATTGGTTTTTTGACGTTCTTGTTGCCGTCGCCATCGTGACATCTCCTTATAGCCAAGGAATACCCTTGAAAGTTTTTATTTTTTTAAATTTTTTTTGAATCATTTGTAATTCATTATCTCCCTACCCGAGAGGGGAGAGGAAAGCTTAGTATTTATATTACGTATATTTATCAAGGCAATAGCGTGGCAAAACTCATATGAGAAATCGCGATAAGTTTTAAGGTTTTATGTTTGATTCATTGAGAGAATGGCGCAAGATTTTTGTACCCAAACGCGAAGCAAAGAAATCAAAAAATTACCTTCACATTCAGGTGTGTTCTTAAAAAATCAAGCAGAATGCTAACAATGTCGACTCAGTTATTTAAGTCGATCATATTACCCCTCTGGTGGTCCTGGTCGTCGTATTCGAGAGTTGGCTCTGATGCGTGTGTTTTTCGATTGGTTCTATTTTTGAATTACAATGTACAGTCAAACTTCTACTAAGATGTCACCCCCGGGAAGTAGCGACTCTCGCAGGTGACCGCCAAACAGAGGAGGTTGACTGCTTAATAGGGATTTGGCTGCACTTCCGTAATTATTCAAAACACGTTGTGTATGGAAGAATAACCATATTTAGTAACTTTTTTTATAGGTGTTGTAGTTACCCTCATGAATGTCTGAATGAAATATTTTGTATATTATTTTCTTTACTTTAGTGTTTGATTATTTGTTTGTTGGTGGTTTTTTTTGCAATGGATATTACATGGATATTAAAGCCGGAATACTTTCTTTAATGCTGCTCTGTTGTTGAATACCTTTTCAGTTTTACACAGTGCATGCTGGGAATTTTTCTTCCACTACGTTACAGTTTTTTGGGATTGTTGATTTTGTTATTATTATTGTTGTTGTCTTTAACAAGGTTTTTTTGGAATATGTGCATAAAAACTACAACTGACTTAGACCGAGGCCCTAATCTACTTGAGTGTGACCTCTGCGCGCGTGGTTGGGAAAGACAAAGAGAGTGAATGTTTCAACCCACAGTAAAATTTATTGTCAAACAACAATAAGAAGATAAGCTTTTAACAACTTTTTATAGTTGTACTATTTGTGTAAAACAATCAAACTAACAACCAAAACATTATTAGATGAATCAAAAGAAAACTTCCCACTGAAGAAAACTATTCCCTAACTCTTCTGTTCTTTGGCCCCTTTCTCAAAATTCCCGGTAACGTTTCAGGCCCGAAACCAAATAAACCATTTTCAAATGAAAATGTAAAGAACACTAAAAAGCGAAAACTCATGAAACCTCGACCTTAACTGTTCATAACAACTGTTTCCCGGGCCCGTTTATTATCGGTACTTAAGAAAATGGCCCCTGGTGTTTCATAAACTGTGAAAATTCTGCCTAAACAGCGTTCATCGAGGTCTCTGCAGCATCTGAAAAAAATAAATCAGTGTAAGAGTCAGTTTGTGTGCCAGAGATTTCTGAGATTTTGTGTACAGTAAACCTGTTGGTTCCGTTAGTCATATTTGAGTCCTCTAGTTAGTTAGCAAATTATGATAAGACAGGCCACGTGCGTACCCTCTGTTTATCTAACGCGCGAAAGAGGAAAATGGCCTCCGCGTAACTAACGCGAAACCGATAGCTTGCGAGTACATCCGACTCTCATTGCTCCTCATCCTAAAATTCCAATTTTATTTGTGAGTTCACAATGGTCTTTAATAAGTCTATGTTCCTCGCAACTCTGCAACTGTAGGCATTGAAATCAGTGACAAAAACTAAATTGGTTTCTCGTTGGACCAGTTACTTATAATACAACCCAAAGAGTTCTAGTGTGAAAATAAACGTTCGCTTTTCAACGTCGTGCAATATGTCAAGATTGATCGTAACTGATCAGACTGAAATTTGTAAAGCAAGGTGTTCCCCAGGGTTCCATTATAGGCCCACTTCTTTGGAATGTACAGTCTACTCTCTCTTAACGGACACCTCTATAAGACGGACACCTCTGTAAAACGGACACTTAGAGTTGGTCTCTGCCTTTCTTTACTTCCTTTATTTGACTCTTTATAAGACGGACACTTACTGCAGGTCCCCAAGGTGTCCGTCTTAAAAAGAGTTGACTGTATTATTATAAAGGACGTCATTTTTTTAAGTACTACGATTTCTCTTAGACTGCATGCAGATGGTATACTGATGGTATACTGTCATGCTTAATTCCAATCCATCATCTTCAACAGAGCAACTTTGCTATCCCCGTTTAATGTAATGAGTAATCAATTAGTCAGTATGTATACACCCGGATTCTCAGACATGATTCGACGGTCATGATTCGACACTAATCACGTGACGTATCGCTTCGCAGTACGTAAACGGTTGCAAAAGTACAGTAATTGAGAGTTCTGCCGTGGGATCTAAAACAGTGAGAGAAAAATCTGGCTGGGAAGGAAATTAAGCTTAGCACTAAGGGACATAAGTGTAACGAAGCTAGAATCCCCACAAATGCGTTTTACATGAAGAGGAAAGCTTTCTTGCCTGGAAAGCGGCGACATGATACTGAAATTACGATGTGATCAGGTGATAAACCTGAAGTTCGATTGCCCAGTTCGAATGTATTTCTGTAGGCGATTTAATAATGGACGAAATATTATCAATACGGCGAAAAGCGAAATAGTCCGATGATTTATCGTTTAGTCTTCTTCCGTATGACAAGGTTTCGGTATTTTGCCGTCGGTGAATACCACCCGCAAAATACATGTAAAAGTGATGCAAATTTAGTTAACAGGGAGGCAAATTTGTATTTCTTTAAGTTGGTACTTTTTCGTCCTTACTTAGCTTCTTCACGGTTAAAAAATGACGGGAAAACTTGACGTTTGCAGAAGAAATCGACAGATAAATTGATCAGTCTGCCGTTGTGAAAGAATTTGCTGGAGAGTTTGAAAGTTTTGTTTTGTCGACCATTGATGCTCGGTCCTCGACTGATGACCCTAGTGAGCACAAATAAAGAAAATCATACATAGAAGAAAGCAACATTTGTTTTTATTGAAAAAGGGTAAAATATGATATTTCTTTAAAGATCAAGGTAGAAGCCCAAAAAATGTTGAGAAAAGAGCCGAAAAACTTATTGAATAAGTCGTCCACACAACCGATAACATGTATTGCGATTAGATTGCGTGACTTGTATGAGAGGCCGTCGTCTGAAAAGGAGAACAAATTATGAATCACAGTCCTCTTTTTCTGAACTACAAGAGAAACATTCAAGGTATCATTAAAGTAACTTTCAGATTGTGTGCTTCGATTCTTGTAGGATATTCAAGGTATAATACTGTACTGCTTGGTAACCTCGCGGTCGAATCATGACGGTCGAATCATGTCTAAAAATCAGGGTGTATACACAGCACTGAAATCAGCTGTAAATTCCTCCCCCTGGCGATCATAATCGAACAATATACCTTACGTTATAGCAAATTAACGCTCCATGAAATTAGGGTATTGGAAATTAACGCGAATTTAGTAGAAAACGGCTTCCCAATGAAAGAAATGAACGCGAAAGAGAAAATAGCATTTCAAAATGAAGGAAATTAACGCGACGTTCACAAAGAAACAAAACTTGTTGAGACATCAGGAACAATTAGTTAAACTTAAGGTCTTGGTTCTTTCCTTACACGTACGAAGGGGGTAAGCGAAGAAATCTGGCCACTTCAAGTTCTGCACGGTTTAACTGTTACTGGCGGAACCTTTCCCTAACAAGAAGTACTCCTCTTTTTCAGTTGTCAAGAATGCCAGAAGGTATTGAGAGATTGGGGTCAAAATAATGGAAATTAAGATCGCGGAAATTAACGCTACAGTAAATTACATGTAACGGCGCGGAAATTAACGTTAACAGAAATTAAATGGACGTTTCCCGTGACGTCACATATTTTAAATTGCTTAATCGCCCTATATAAGGGAATTCAGATTTTGGAATCTGGGAAATGTATGCTTGTGGAGTTCGGAATCCGGAAAATTTTAGCCGGTAAAATCAGGAATCCCAGATTGTGGAATCCGGAATACAGCTAAAGGAATCTGGAATCCCACGATCGATTGGAATCTGGAGTACAAGTTTTCAGGCAAATCCAGTACCTGATATCCGAAATCCATGGCTTGGAATCTATAAGCCAAGATTGTCTTGCATTGCCTTACTCGGGGCGAATTGCCTGCTAGAAGACTTATGGCGGGAAACAGCCCCATTCAAAGATGGCACGTGACTTCAATAAGCAAATGAGGGCGCTTGGTTAGTTAAGAATTTGCTTAATGTCTCACCTTTTACTTTTAACTCAAATACAACGAATGTGGTTTCTTCGTAGCAAATTGATTGACAGCTATAATTTCCCTTGTCCTCCACAGTGACGTCATTAATAGTCAGGGTAAACTCTTTTTTGCACTTGCTGTTGGTATTCTTCTCTTGTATTTTATACTTTTTCCCGCTTTTTATTGGCGCTGAACTGTCGTTGAATCGCCACTGTAGCTCCAGTACATCCGCACAATAGTCCGGATCCACGTGAATCATGCATTTGAAGGTTTTGTTGGAAGACGTATCTGCCGTAACCTTGGAAGAAGAAACCTTTGGGTTTATGGGCCACGGACCTGTGTGGAATAATGAGCCAAATATAATAAGCATTGAATGACTCACTTACAAATAACTCATTATGGAATAACTGAGATAGTACGCGCGTTCTGATTGGTTAAAAACCTGCCGGTAAACTCATAGAAAACTTAAAGTTATTTTATAACCGCAATAGACAGCACTTTCTATGGGTTTAGGGGCGTTATAATCCATTTGGAATGTTAAGAGAACCCTCGAAAAGCTTGTAAATCACTCGCCTTCAGCTTGTGATTTACAAGCTTTTCTCATGTTCTCCCAACATCCCGCGTGAGTTATCACACCGGTAAACCCATAGAAAGTGTGGTCTGTTGCTTAATTTTATGATAGTATTGATAGTATTGGATATATAGAAAGATGTACAATTAATAGATATTTCTATTTCGTTTTGCATGTTATAATATTTCTAGTGTAAGTCATTGCTAATTTTTATATGTTAAGTTTTATTCTATAGAGGGCCACAAGGCCATCACTTTCACTACTGTCACTTGCTCCCCTCTTAAAATAAAGTCTATTGATTGATGGATTGATTGAATAAGCGACAGCTAAAAAAATATTGCACAAAGTAGCATAAATTACAGTGGAACCCCACTCTACGGCGAGCGGTGTATAACGGACAGTTTTCAAGTTTGTCTTGACCAAAAGCTTATTGTACTGAACGACCCCAAATGTAGTAACATTTATTCTTAAATGTAATTAAGTCCTAAATGTTATATCAATTTGCCCTAAATGTTACTTGACTCTTAAGTTAACAATTACAGCGATTACTCGAATAAGCGCGAGAAAAATTAATAAGCACCGCGGGGCTTATTTGCGTAAATACGTTACTAAGCGGTATTACCATAGTATTTAGCATCATCCTCAAATGAACGCCGCATTTTTGGAGTAAAAAGTTAATAAGTGCTGCGGGGCTAATTCGCGTAAGTTCGGTCCTTTCTTGCGTTTAGGCCTTCTGCATCATTTTCTCTAAAATTAACTCCCATAATGCGGAAACCGGTTAATACCGACAACGGACATTTTCCTTTGTCCCGAGTCATCAACTCCCATTTATCGTCAACCCTTCTTTACGGAACCTTTTCTCGGTGCCAAATTCCTGAACGTATTAAAAAGACGAAGATACTGTTAAACTATCAAACTTCCCAGATAAACAGAGATAAGGGGTTGGGATGCTCTTCGTCTCTCTTAGGGGTGTTAAGTTGGGATTTTGGTCTCATTCAGGGTGTTCTGGGCAAAACGCCATCATATTTAGCCGTGAAGGTCTCGTTTAGGGTTGCACGTGAAAAAATATAAAAATATATATACTGTCTGTGTTTCAACATGGTCTCTTTTAGGGGTCAAAAAAAGCTTGGGCCACGCCCACATCGGTCTCCTTTAGGGGTTTAATTCAAAATTTCCGACGAGCATCCCCACCCCTTTCATATGCGGAGTCTCCCCCCCGGGATCTTCTTCATATCTCTACCGCAGCATTTTGTGTATGGTTAAAGGCACTAAGAATTGACTTCATTGCTGCAGAATTGATCTAAAACAATATCCTCGAGACATATTTCCCCTTTAAGTATCAACTAAGGCTACTTACATTCGTATATCAGCTCAGTAACCTTAGACAATTTACTTGACCAGCCATCAATGCTGTTCTCTGCAGTGCACCAATATTCGCCGTATTGTTTTTCTTGCATGTGAGGATTCTTAAGAACTGAACTTAACGTGTCGTCTCCGATTATTTCCTCGTAGATTTCAAAACCGTCAGATCCACTTTTGATTTTGTTACCATGTGGGTTGATCCAAACTACAGTAGGACGAGGCCATCCCTTGAAGGTACAGTTTAACTGAATTTTCTCTTTAAACCAAACTGGGGAACTGGGCTTGAAAACTCTCTGAACTGGACCTGAGGGAAATGGAATATATTCGCACTTGATGCCTGCAGAGATGCCAACCTCTGGACACTCTCTCTTTTACATTACCCCCCCCACCACCCTGAATATCAACAACACACCTCACCACCCCCCTCCCGACCCCGAGCCCCTCATAAGCATAATTCGATCCAATCCCCAACTTATCACACAGGAATGGCTTAAGACATTATATTAAGTCTTACATGAAGTATGGACATGATTCTAATGGCGAAATAGTCTTTGTCACTGATGAAATACGCACAGAAATACCCAAGAAATCGAATTAAGAATCAGAGAAAATTTGAATTTTGGAAGAAAATGGGATAAATTCATAATTAAAGTACAGAAAAGCTCATGACTCGATTTTATCCAGGAGATTTGGTGACCTGTACGGAAGACCGGGAGCCGGGAGAATTGATATGTATGTGACTGACAGGCACTAGCCTGTTCCAGGCTCCTAGATAGTGGGGAAAGCGAATCGAATAAAATTGGTTGGGGGCTGGAGAGGGACGGGACTCACTTTTTCGCCGCTTACCCGCTCTCTCGTTTCTCACCAGCCCCCACACGGTTTTCGCGCATTTTTTTTTCTCTATCCGCTCATGTTGTCAGTCATAAGACCGGCTATGCGACCAGGCAAGATGAGCAAAATCCTTTGTTCTGGTTAGCTGCTCCGAGAGATTGGGACTGAACCCGAAAAAGGATTTGCAAAACTATTCTCGTGAACAGTGGTCTTCCTTTTGCTAATTATGAGTGCGCGTTCAAGTCCGCTGTTCTTCTTAAAAGAACCGTTAATCAAATCCAGGGACTCCTGTCAAATCCTTTTTCCGATTTCCCAAAAGGGATGGCAGATGATGAGATTCCTGTAGATTTTACTCATCAGATATAAAGACAAAACTCTATGACGTCATCAGAGTTAATGTAATGAGATTCCCCCTCACAAATAAAACGCCTGCGTGGGAGGCTACCTCACAAAAGGCCTAAAACATTCCTATACCACTCCTGTCATAAATGGCTGCCGTTAGACAAGGATTTCTGCGTCAGGCACGAATGAGAAAGTTGTACTTACGAGCGAGGGTTATCTGAGTGCACGAACAATGTGGATTCTCTTGCTGCTGTAGCACCAGATCATACACATTGTTGCTGCCATGAATCTTTCGTCTAACTTGTTCCCAGGTCAAGTCTTGTGTTGATCCTTTATTCATGATCGAGCACCCTACAGTTGCGTTAGAGCGCGGATTCACCGTGACTGTCTTCTGAGTGGAGTCTTGACACTCACTTGAGCAGGAAGCTCGTAGTTCACAACTCTTGATGCTTGCAGGCAAGACGTCTGTTGATAAAAAAGCGTTGAAACATTTCTTTGCAAAATATTAAAAACAGCAGCAGTACTTTCACATGGTACTATTTATATTATTTAGTATGTAGTTCTAACTTTTGAGTTTGTGGATGAAATCCTATGGTGTAACCATTCAAATGAAGCCTCTTCAGCAGTATTTCCACATGGTACTATCTATTTAGTATGCAGTTCTAACTTTTGACTGTGGATGAAATCCTATGGTGTTACCATTCAATTGAAAAAGCTCTTTAGTGACTTTCACATGGTTCTATTTATTTTAGTATGCAGCTCTAACTTTTGAGTCAGACCCTGCAGGTTATGGATGGTGTCGCCATAGTGTAATCATTCAAATAAAACCTTCTCAGCATCTCTTTCACATGGTACTATTTAGTTACTATTTGCTCAGACCATTCATTTAAATGGAATGCACGGAAGCTTTCTGTTAGCTCTTTTTGTTTAGGATTACTGATTAGGGCCAACTAAAGTCCACTTATGCTGGCAGAACATTCCTGAATTAATTGTCAGGGCCCAATGAGGCGCAAATTCGAGGTTGGGCGCTTGTTCGAATAAAAACGGTATGTAGACAAAACCACACCATCAAACCACTGAGTGAGGACAGCCGGCCGGATGTTGGCGGGGTGAGCTGGATCAGTGAACACTTCCCAAGTAGAAAAACTGCAGTAAACTGATCCTCACAGCAAGAAGAGTTATAGAAGAAGATATATAAAGAAAATTCAAATGGTAAAGTATATTTGCCCGATAGTTCGGTCGCCAACACAAAGCCTCAACGGGAGTTAAAAAGAAAAATAATTTTTGTTGTTGTTGGTTTTTTAAGTTCGTGCTTGTTTCATCAAGCAGGTCAGGGCAGGAGCCGATTAGCGGTCAAGGTTGTCAAGATTTCATCCATGCTTTCCTGTTTTAATCTTTGATTTTCTCGTACGTAATTCATGCTTACATCGCCAATTAGTACTGAGTATTTTGAGCCTTCTTGTTACTTTGGCCTTGCAAAATGTTTGACTTACACTTTGCTGACCTTGGCTATTTAAGTTCTTTTTAAGTCTTTGTTTGGGTTTGCCGTCAAACCAGTGTTTTTAGTTTTTGATTGGTTTGTAGCTTCTTGCCGATAGCAACCGCGTGTAGGTTTAGTGAAACCAAGACATAAACCCCCCACCGAGTTAGGGGTACTCAACGACTGTTTCCTATAAAACATCTGTTTCGGGAGAAGCGAATATTGCCTAGAATATCTATCATTTGAGGAGGTGGGGGCAAAGGTACCTCGTGCGTGCGGTTATTATACTCTTGCGATTTATTAGCAAAACTATATTATAATTTTGACTGTGGAGTTATATTTTACTTTTTGGGGATAACATCTCTGCACGGAAACCTTTTATGCAGATCTTAAAAAAATCCTCAAAAATCGCTGAAATTTGAGCTCAGAAAAATTTAATATATGTTAATTACCACTCGGTATGGGCATGGAGTGAAAAATACCCATGGCTGTGCATGTTTTGGCCTCCTAATACGAGCTCCCCGGTGGGAGCTATAACAACCGTTGCTGATACTGTCTATCACGTGCATATCAGGGGCACCCAATGTCAATTTTTGGAGAATATCTGTTCGGAAGACGATTTGAGATCTAGAATTTTCGGAACATTTGTTGTAAAATTTCTTGCTTGCCTGCCTCTCCTAGGATTTTCGAACATCTAAAAGATGGTATAATTGCCCATTTTTAACGGATTTGTATATCGTAAAAAGGTCACCTAAAATGGTAAGTTTTGATCGCTATAATTTCGGATCACTAGACTTTCAGCTAGAAAATCCGAACAGATGAAAAAATTTTAAGGGATAAAATATGCCTATATCTACCTTTTAAATACTGAAATACGTTTAACAATGCTATGTTTAATTTGAATGCTCCTCTCGTCATCTTCTCTTACTTTTATCTTCTCCTTGTAAAGTTTTATCGTCTTAGGAACTTATCAAAGATAAGAAGATATCTCACAAAGGAGTCTTGCGAAATTGCTGTGCATGTCGCACACGTGGGCCTATTTGATCCAGAACGATCTATAAAAGCATATGTTGCGAAACTCTACATAGCTGGAATAACGTACTGTCTGATATCTTTTATGCAATCACTTCCATCGACAGTAAAACGTCCTACAATTTACAACGCAAATTATCTCTTCATTCCAAATGAATAGTGGAATATGAAAAAAATTTTTAAACTCCCAAGAAAATTGATTTACGTCACCATGCAAACGTTATGTCAAAGAAGACAGTTCATATTGGTAATTAACATCATAGAATTTGGTCCACAGATTTTAATTTAAAGTGATAGAATCGTCCCCCGATAACTTGTCTGGGCGCGAAGGGGTTAATTGAGCATACGTGTTCAGTTGCTGTTAGCGAACAAAAATTCACACAGCCAAGCCCAAAATCCAAACATCGTTCATTACAGACAAAACTGATGTAGTGTATCTTAAAATCTTGTTCTTTGTTGACCTTTTTCAAAAATTGTATTTGTTCTCCTCTTCAGTAGGCAAAATAAAGTATCATAAATGTCTTGACCTTTAAGAATCTCAGGAATCTCTATGGGTAGTTGCGGACGTTTCGTAGCGCGTTTCGCAACAAATCGTCAGGTTAGCAACTTTGATTTCGTCTGAAAGACCCGGCATACAGAGTTTCAACAATTCTTTTTTAATTCATTAACTTTTATAGTTTTTTTTTTTTTTTAAGTAAAAGCCTGTGACATGAACATCTGTTAACAACAACAATTGTATTTCTCTGGAAAATGCACTTAAAATTTTTTACCAGATTTATGGACTCTTTGCAACTTTTTCCAGGCCCTAAGGCTAAAACAGACTGGCCTTTTCATGGGGAAAAAGCAAGGACATAGGGTCAGGAATTTTTCGCTTCAACTCCATGAAACTAAAATTATACTGGAGAATACAGAGCAAACCACAAGATGATAAGAAGTATGAGTTTTAACACAGTTCTTAACTTACTTCTCGGCTCCGGTAGATCAATATGTTAATGCATGCGCCGATTTCTCCTGATTAAGATTTATATGACCTACCTTGGATAACAAGACTTGACAGAAAAAAGAACAGCATGAATTTCATGGAGCAAAACTGAAAATGTCTTCCCAGGAAAGCCTGTCTCTTCATGTTTGCGAAACAATAACTTGTTGGTGGCGACTGTCGATAGTTTCCCAGTTGGAATTTCTGTAAAACTAAAAGCGTAGGATGCTGAGCTGCGACAAAACCAAACAGTTTATTGTCCCTTTATTTATAATAAAATGTCGCGTACCCTGATTGGCTGCACATTAGGGATTGATAAACCCCCGCCGGGATAAACCCACCCTCTGGTTGTTTTTTTTTGCTGTTCACATATCTCTTTGAGCCATCCCCACGATCTGTACGCCAGGAAACGGCATTGTTGATCTTACACCTACGTCATACTTTTCCCGCAAAAAACTTTGTCGCCTGTTACTTTGCGACGAATCCTTATGGAACTTCACAATTTCACTAAGTTCGGCATAAAAAATTGGTCTATGGTGGTGATCTTTTGCATAAGTACAAAAA